AGCAAGTGAAAATGACCCCTATTGACTGGATCCAGCTGTGTGTCACGCTCTGTGAGTCTCTCCCAATTCACTCTTTCAAGTAAATGAATGTGGTAAAAAAAAAAAAAAGGATAGAAAGTCAACGGAATCTTTTTTTCTTCTTCTTCTTGCTTTCTATGCTGTGGGACTTTCTCAGTCATAGCCCTTATTTTCAGAGCTGAAAAATATGTTTATTTGCTCATTAATTTCCTTCTCTCTCCCTTGCCTTTTCTTGGCATTAGGCAGAATGTTATTTAAAACAAGACACAGTTCAGCTTCAAAAAGAAAAAAAATCATTCTGCAAAATACAGCTTGGACTCATTTACTGGTCATTTATCATTGCTCAGAGAGTGGGGTACAAATATCTATATTTGGTATATTTTAATGATTTACAGTGCGGTTACTCTTATTGGCACCAGTATATAGGGAAGCAGCAGGCTCCTTAGGACTTTGAGAAGTGTCTCAGACTGTCTTGAAATGATATGGAGAATATTAAATGTGGCACATGCAGAGCAGCTTGATAATCATTTATCTTCACTGCTTTCCTTCAAATATGATGGCAGCTGATGTTTAGAGGGTAAACTCAACCCAGAGGCCTGAGGCTTTTTGAGGGAGACTCTCAGCCTTCATTTCCATAGGTCAGAGTGTATTTTTCCTCACCAGTGCTTTCAAAAAAGCTTTGTTTTTATGTATCTTCCGTTTGTTTTGCTTCAGACAGTGGGCAGGTAACAGTGTGCCTAGTGAGGTGCCTGGCACATAGTCAAGACCCAGTAAATATTTGTAGGGTGAATAAATAGTTAAATGGAATGTTATTAGCATTGCTAGTGTTATTGTCTTGGCATAGAACATGCAAGAACAGACTTGAGGCAATCAAGTAATTTCCCTTAACAGTACAAGCTAATTATTTGAGAGATGAAGATCTGGTGCATAGTATTTATTTGTCAGGCTCCATTTGCTCCTAATTAAAGGGGGAAAAGTTGTTTGTAGCATTGAAAAGACAACACGATGATTCCCCATTCCCAAAGAGCTTTTTCATTTTCCATGCCTCATTTTAGGGAAAATATATCAAGAGAAAGTTAGTGTGCATTCAGTCCTCTTATTTATTATTTGTGTTTTCTTTTTCTTTTTCTCTGTTATTGTTTTCTAGAGGGCAGGCTGGGTGTGGAGATCTTTTGACAGTGCTTTTATAGCCTATCTGCCCACAGGCCTCCTGCAATTGATTGTCCTAACCTGACTGATCAATAAAATCACGTTCCAGTACAAATACCACTTGCAGTGACCCAGGACAAAAAATGCTGCACCCCTCATCATAAGCCTCAGAAGGTTTCATTCATTCCTTCACATTTCCACTCATCCATTCCTTCCAAAGATATTAATTCCATGTCTAATATGTACCAGGCTCTGTGCTAAAGCTGGGAAATTAACACTGAGCAAAATCCAACCTGGTTCCTGTTCTCCTGAAACTTATGATCTGGGATGATTGATGGATATTAATAGAATAATCAT